AGCAGTGTTCCTGCAGACCTCCTGATGTTCTCCTCTGTTCTCATGAAGCCGTTTCCTCTGACCAGGCTGTCTGGTCCGTCGGCTCAACAACAGCCCCAAAGCATCACGTTCCACCACCATGTTGGACCGTGAGGATGCTGCTCTTGGCCTTGAATGCTTCTCCTTTCTCTGTGTCCAAACATCTCCACGTTCATGAAGTGATGAGCAGCAGCTTTCTTCTTTGTCCTGGAGAAGTGGATCCTCCTTATCTCCATGGAGACCAACCTTGTTGTTGGTCTGCTGGAGTGTCTGATTGACATGTTGCTACCAGAACTGCTCACATTCATCAGGATGCTCTTGGTGCTGGTCCTTGGGTTCTTCTTGGCCTCCACCATTCTTCCAGTGCAGGGCTGACATCTGTCCTCCTGCAGCCCTTTGACATGTTCCACAGTGAGGAACTCCTTGGACTTCTTCATGAAGCTTCAGACTGTGAACCTTGAAAACACTTGATGTGACTTTATAGCCTTTAAATCTCTCATGAGCAGCAGCAACGTGCAGCTCTCTCTCAGTGATGGACCCAAACAGCAGCTCACTGAACTACTGCATCATCTGTTCTCACTTTGAAGTGCATTAGAACGCTCTCAAACTGGTAGAAATTACCAGGAGCACCTTGAATGGCGTAGAAGCTGCAATTACTCAAAGATTTGCAACAGTTTCAAGGAGTAGGAATCATTTTGGATGTGTAGAAATTTTGTTTTTTTTTAAAGTATTTTTGGCTTTTGTCACTTGTTTATCTCATTTCCAGCAAAAAAGAAAACTTATCTGTGATATAAAAATTCACTATAAATCAAAAGTTGGCAGGCCTATGAATAAATTTGGGCTGTATGTGTGGTATTTGCATGTTCTCCCTCCACTCCTCAGTTTCCTCCTATAATGGAGTAAATTCATTACTGCTTCCCCAAGCAGACTGAGAGGAAAAGCTGACTGGTGAACTATAAAAACATTTACGGCTTTCTTTTATTTCCTCAATCTATTAAATTACACCACAATATTTCAGCCATCGCTGCCTTCTTCTGCTTCTTCTTTTATATTCCCTGCCCTGCCTGTCTTATTTCTTCCACATGAGCAGCTGCAGGAGTGACAGCGGTGCACAGGCAGCAGTAAGTGAGCAGTTTGTGTGGATGAGAACTGAAGCGACGGAAAGCGAGGCGGCTCCGGGAGCGAGCTCGGCTGCTGCATTAGGTCCGCAGCGGGGTCCTTCGCTTTCCCACTTCACGTGTGACTGGGTTTGTGTTGCTTGTGTCCGACCGGCGCGACGACGCAGCCACAGATTGCGGAGGCCCCTCGGCGCCGAAGACACGTTTCCCACCCTGCTGCATCCTCCGTTTCCCCCTCTAAACAAACAGCCCGAGCCAGAGCAGGTGGATGACGGGAGGAGGAGGAGGAGGAGGAGGAGGAGATTTATTACCTGCGCTGCATCTCTCAGCAGCTGCACAGGCGAAACGAGTTCAGTAGGCCATCGGAAAGCACAGAGAATTTCTCCCACAAAAACGAAAAAGTTTAAAGTCAAATTAATAGCCTCGGGGCTGAAGGTACGAGAGCGGCCGTGCCAAGACACCAATTAGCCAAATTCAATCGTTATAAAGTGTTTGCATTATTTCATAGTCGATCATTTTAAACGGGTACGTTTGCCAGCATCCATCACATAAATCCTGATAAAGGCGCCCTGGTCCGGCTCTCCAGATATGTCCAGTCACCCCCAGATGCTGGGCTAAGTACAGTTTAGCAGCATCCAGGAGGAGAAGGAGGAGGAGGATGAGTGAATTCCCTCCTCACCTCCTCCTCCTCCTCCTCCTCTCCCTCTCTCATTAATGAGCAATCAGTTAAAAAACTTTATTGGTCCCTATTTGCTTCCTCAGCACATTTTTTGCTCCCTCCTCTGAACCAAACCTCTCTTTCACTCTGCATCCTTTCTGTCTCTGCAAAGCCCTCCCTTCCATCGCTCTTCCTTCCTTCTGCCCCCTTTATTGCTGCGCTTCATTACCTCCATCTTCCCTTTTTTCCTCTCTGGCTCTTTTTTTTTTTTTCCCCTTCCCCTTCGCTCTCCTCCTTCCCCGTCCTCTGCATCCATTTTTTATTTTTTTTAAAACTCAGAGAAGCTACAGAATAGAGAATCTGATGCATGTCTGGCGAATACAAAAGAGCGTTTATTTCACAATATTTACAGCTCAGTCTCTCGCGACCCATCGGCATTCAAGTCTCCGAGACTTCTGCAAAACACACGATTTACATTCAGAGTCACAGTCGAGTTGTTGTTTTTTTTTTGCACACGTCAATCCGAGTATGTACGATTTTTCTTTCTTCTCTTTCACAATAACAATAATGTTCCTCGTCATGGATAAAAAGTGGATCTATTACTTTTAGGTGCAACCATCTATAATCAGAAACCATCAGATCTCTGCAGAGGGAAGTTTTACAGAAAATGAACTGCAACAGACAGAAAAGGTTCCAGTTTGTTTTTCCGGTGATGTTTCTGCTTCGTAGGACGCACCGCGAAGCAAACATGATTGTACGAGTGACGCTGGGATGAATCCTCAGTCTCATCGAGCCGAAACACGGATAATTTTCTGGGGTTTATTATTGCGAAAAGGATTTTTCTTTTTTCTGCAACAGGATATTCATGTGGGGAAAAAAAAAACTGTGATTACAATGATTTTGAATGTCCTATTAAATGAAAATTAAATTTAATTGAGAAACAGATGAAACCTTAATAAGAGAAGGGAAAAAAAACATCAGCGGTGACTAAATACGTGTACAGAAAACAGAAGAAACCGCCGATAAACGGGTAGAAGGCTGTCAGGACGGTAATGAGGTTTAATGTAAATGAACCCTGTTGGAATGTAAACCCGCTCTCGCTTGACGTGCAGCACATCAGCTGTCAAGTCGCTCGTCGGCTGAGCGTCGTCCTGCGGCTTCACATTATGGCAGTAATGTCACTTTACACAGTTGGAATTCACGGTTTGCAGCTCTTGTCTTATTCACAGTGTGTAACTGAAGTGAATACGCCACTGTCAGCATCGCTTATATGTGAAATTCATAAAAACTGCATTGGTGTTTTCTTTTATGAACAACCAAAAACAAACACTTTAGAAAGACTGTATTGAAAATTGAAGTAGAAACTCAACTAAACTGAGTCCACCTGTGGTTTCCACTCAGCCTAACTGCATGAACATGGTTAGAAAATGAGCTGAGAACAGCAGAACTTTCTCACTTTTGGACTTTTGTGTCCATCTGTATGTCTGCATCATGGCTCCACGTGGAAAAGAACTGACAAAGGAACTGAAAAATCTGATTATGAGACTCCACAAAGATGGAAAAGGATCCAGGAAGATCAACTAAAAATCAGTGAAGTCCAGTGTGAGCAGTAACCAGGAAGTCTAGAAGGAGCCGTAGTAGCTCTGATCAGGGCTGCAGTGGTCGTCCTCCTGAAATGACTCCACAGACAGTGAACTACTTTCACTATCTAGCTGTGAACAAAAGCTGCTTTAGACTTGGCACAGGGGTTATCAATGGAGACCAGAGTTAGTGTGAAGCTCAGACAGTGTGAAGGACAGTGCATGATGTCGACCTCAGTGGATGCCATCCAAGAAAAAAAGGCCCTTGCTTGTTCTTTGGCACAAAATGTGCTACAGAACATGAAAACAATCCTGATGAATGTTGGAGAACATTCTCTGGTCAGATTACGATAAATGTGTTGGGCTCAGATGGAGTCCAGATGTTTGGTGTGAACCTGACCAGGACCACCACAGTGGATGCATCGTCCTGACAGTGAAGCACGGAGGTGGCAGCATCATGATATGGAGCTGCATGAGGGCAAAAGATGACATTTATAGATGAATGTCTGAGGATAAACCAGAATACTGGCTGATAAGATGACTCCCAGTCTGCAGAAACTGGAAGAAGAGGAACATTCCAGCAGGAGAACCATCCAAAGCACACACACAAAAAAGAAAACTACAACCTGGACAAGTATTTCATCTGCCTGAAATCCAATATAACACCTTTGAGGTATTTTAAAGAGAGATGCAGAGCAACACAACCCCTCCAGGAAAGAGCAGCTGAAATAATTAGCCTCTGAAGAATGACAGAACATCTCTGTAGATATGTGAACAATGTTGGTATCTAGAAAGTATTGAAAAAGTAATGAAGGATTCAGGTGTAGTCATTTTTGTCGGATTGAGTTCCTACTGTGGGGCCACGTGTTTTAGATATAGTAAATCTAAACTGTTGTTTTTTTAGATTAACATGAGAACAAGCACCCTACTGTTGAGAAGTAATCCAAGTACTTTTGATTTAAGTGGCATTACACAGTGGTTTACTCACGTCTGCTGCTGATGTTGGGCTTAAAAATAACGATTCTCCAATGATTTGGTCAGTTAAACCACAACCCATTACTAAAACATCAATGAAACGCTGTAAGAACGTGTGAGGATGATCGAGTGTATCAGGAAAAAAAAAAAAAGTTTCTGAATCACAGTCCTCCCGATGTGTGCCACAGTCCACTCCGGCCTATAAATAGGAAATATTTGCTGTTCTCTGCCTCAGTGTCATTGACAACAGTTGTGCTTCCTTATCTCTCAACACCTCCCACGCTCTCCAATCTCTGTTTGTTGTTGTTGCCTCTCAGAGGAAGTCTTTTGACAGCGCTTCTCCAAAGTTGGGTGCAGCCATGAGGATCGCGATGGTGCAGATGATGTTGAAAACGCTGAATCCCACCAGGCAGAGGCGGTCGATGACGGCCGCGGCGAACTGCCACTGCTCAGCCAGACTCAGCTGCCGGTCCTGCTCACGAACTCGCTCGACTAGATACTGGACCTCGGCCAGAAGAGCCTGCAGCTGGTTGTCCACCGCCACCGATCGGATCGTCCCACTGTGGGAACACACGGCGGCCGATCTCCCGACCCCGACCTCCGAGCCGCAGGGTCCGGACGTTGATGGGTCGGGGTCCGGGCACACTGGAGGCTCCGGCGGTGGGCTCCCAAACTTTGAAGACGGGAGGTGGTGGTGGTGCATTGGTGTATCTCCGACTGGACCTCCTGCTGCTGCCGCTACCTCGCCTTCACCTCCAACTAGTCCACTGTTACTCCTCCCGTGACTGGTGGCTCTGCACCTCTGCACTGGTTCCAGTTCTGCAGTGGTCTGGAAGGTCTGGAAGCCCATGTAAGGCAGGTGACCGTTGGGCTGGGGGTGAGGATTGGGGCTGGGGTCTCTGTGGCCGGCGTTCGGGAGGATGACGGCCTGGGCGTTGGGCCGGTGGGGCAACATGTGCGCCAGAGGGTGGTTGAGCTGCACCAGGCTGGCCTGCAGGGAGCCGAGGCCCTGGGGCAGGATGGAGGGCGCCGGGGTGGGGATGGTGGCGGTGGTGGTGGTGGTGGTGGTGGGAGAGGACAGGGTCTTGCTCTGAGAGTCCACCTGGCTGTTGGAGAGAGTCGGCTCAGCTCCTTCGCCCGGACGCTTCATGCGCAGGAACCAAGGAACCCACTGTAGCAGAACCAAGTGCACCTGGACACAAACAGAAAGTAAAAGTGCTCGGAGTCACATTTTCACTCATAAACACACATCAGATGAGCACATGTTGACCCCAAACACTATAACTGAAGACGTTTCATCTTCATTCTAGAGGCTCCTTGGTTCTAACTGACTGATGGAGAGTTCCAAACATTTATTCGAACCCCAAAGTGGCTTTTTTACAACCCAAGTGTGACACTCGTTCTACCTTTTTCAGTTCTTTATATACGTTTCTATGTGTTTCTATGACCAGCACCGCAGTGCACCTCGAACTGAGCCACATCCATCTGTACACCTGTGTTTTAAAACGCTGCCAGCCTGTAATTCGGTTGCAGCCTTTGTGCATTGTGCAGCTCGCCCACGTGTGTCTCTGTGCTCAGAACCGCATAGAGAATTCTCTTTTGGGTTCAAGCCAAGAATGAAAGTGTTTGACGCTCGATTGAGGTGCTACTCATTTTGTACTTTTGTTCTGGATACAGCAGGTCAGATAAGTCAGGTGTTGAATGAGAAGCTTTTATTTTGTTAAAACGGAATAGGTGAGTATTTTAACTTCTGTGAAGGTTTCAGTACAATTTTCATTTAATAGGACCTTCAAAATCATTGTGATCAGTATTTTTCCAAATGAAAATTCTGAACTTTTTTTTTTTTTACAATAAACCCTGAAAGTCACCTGAGCATTGTCTCAACGAGACCGAGAATTAATCCCAGCATTACATTTGCTTCGCAGCGTGTGCTATGAAGCAGAAAAATATCTTTTGTCTATTGCAGTTAATTTTCTGTAAAACTTCCCTCTGCAGAGATCTGATCCTTTCTGATTATAGAAGTCACTAGCGATTGTTCCTACAAGCTGGTTGCGCCTAAAACTAATAGATCCACCTTTTTATTCATGCTGAGGAACATTATTGTAATTGTTATTATTGTGGAAGAGAAGAAAGAAATCAGAAGGCTTTTACTCGGACTGACGTGTGCAGAAAAATACAACTCGACTGAATCGTGACGTGTGTTTTGCAGGAGTCTCGGAGACTTGAATGCCGATAGGTCGAACTAGACTGAGCTGTAAATACTGTGAAATAAACGCTCTTTTGTATTGGCCAGGCAGGGCCACTTAACTCCTCTCTCAAACTATCTGTCCAGAATGTGGACATTAAAGGAGAGTCCGTTATTCTGGAGACGCAGGTGGACTGTTGAGTTATGTTCTGAGGAGCTGCACTTGTAGAGAGGTTATTTAGTCTCCTCTATAAATAGCTCTGGGCAGTGCAACAATGCTCAGCTAATATTTGAGCTTTTTTTTTGAGTGTTGTTGAGTGTGAAGTAAGATTTGTAAACCAGCCGTGTACAGAGGAAATAGCGTATCAGACCACTTATCAGGCACAGTTGTGACTCGATAATCCAACACTAAATGTAAAACCTTCTTTTATGTCGGATTGTCAAGACGGAGGTCGAGATACGAGGAGGGCTTGGTGCTTGAAGGCTCATTTGTTGTAAATATTCATTGTTTATAGTTGTTATAATAACTAGTATGGCTGGTCCCAATAGCACTTTCTGGGCCCAATTAATGATGAATATCTGAATATTTGGATATTTGTCGGGGGACACGTCCACCCCAGGGGAGCGCTCCGACGGGGTGGAAGTGTCCAGAACACACAGGCAGTACTTGGCTGCTGATGCTAGTTTAGTTAGCGCTCACACTTCTGTTTCCAGCATCAGCGGCGGTGAGGGAGCAGCAGATACGCTCCACCGTTACCATCCATATTTACTTCTGTAAACACTGAGCACGCTCGCTGTGTGTGACGTCGTTGTGTCCTCTTCTGCGCATGCGGGACACTTTTGGGTCGTATGAAGTTCACACAGCAGATCACATACAAGTCGCATTTAACTGGAAATGTGAAGGAACTCACAAAAAAATCTGAATGTAGCATTAAGTCCTGCAGTGTGAACGTAGCCAATCTGTGGGATTGTTCAGTCAGATAATACGCCGTTATCCTGATTGGTGACATAAAATGTCATGTCGGAGTCAGAATCCAAGGCTGTCGGTATGTTAAGGATGTTTTAATGCTTCGTTGTTCCTAAAAACCTGTCGGATAGCAAGGTTTTCAGATGGTTCAGGGTTGGATTATCCAGTCACGACTGTACTCAGAACCACCTTTCACACCTCAAGACTTGTGAGTTTTGAATTGGAACTCCCCATCAGTGCAGTTCCTCCTTACTGAAGCATTGGGGACTGCATGGCTTCTATGATGTTTAGAAAAGCGCTCCATCTGCAGATTCCAACTCACCCATCGCGGCATGTGTCCACTGTTGGGGTTGTGGTGGTGGAACTGGAGGACGATGACCGTAGCCACCACCGACATCCCCACAATCACCATCGTGCTGGCAAAGTACTGTCCTGAGGCACACACACACACACACGAGGCTGCGTTGACAATCTGTATGCTACGAGCAGCGTCGGCAACCCACATACAGAGGCATGCACGGGAAGAAAAAAACCAACAACTGACCAATCAGAGGCACCGAATCTGAAGTGGCGGGCATAATCTCTGCAACCATCAGCATGAAGACAGTCAGAGAAAGCAGAACGGTGATGCCTGCAGGCAGACACAAGACACCGGGGAGACGGGAAGACAGAAGCCTTTAGAGAACAAAGTACATGAGTTACACTTAGTGGAACAGGATAGTTGGTATGCTGCACTTGACTCCTTCGCCACAACCATCCGTCTTACTGACACTCCTCGGAAAAACTTATTCGATTTCACTCGTTCTCATCTTCCCTCCCGCCTTTTTCTGCCTCTCGTGTCTCCTGACGCCGTACAAAAGCTCTGACTGAGAGCTTCCCGCTAATGTTAACAGAGAGAGATTGCAAGAGAAACACTGGAGTGGAATAAGCTCTCGCAACCAGGAAAATGTGGCTAGAAAACATATTTTATCTCATAAGCCAGTAGCAGATGTAGCTCTTGTGTTTTTTTCTGTTTTCTCAAGCGTGCCCCCTCGTTATTGTCCTACAGTCCCCTCTTATTATTCCTCACCCAGGCTGATTTTCTCCCCGGAGTTGGCGGGAAGCAGGAAGACCACCAGGGTCATGGAGGACAGCAGCACACAGGGGATGAGCAGGTTCAGAGCGTAGAACAGCGTTCGCCTTCGAAGCGTCACCACAAACGTAATGTCGGGATAAGGCTCGGCACAGCAGTCGTAGAAGACCTCGTGTCGACCTCCAGGGACCTCTGAGAGGACGAGACACAGCAGGAATGTAATATATGACTCAGAAAACACAACACACAACAGGTAATACAGGCCTTAGAGTAGGAGCTCAATGCAACAAACCTTTAGAGATTTAAACCTTTTATTCTATTTCTATACCTTTACTTTTGACGACAACCTTCCCCTTCTTCTCTCAGAGGGATGTTCTGTCATCCTTTACAGACCTTTTTTTTTTTTTTTTTTTTGCAGTTTCTTGCCTTTCTGTCTTTTCCCTTTTAAAATACCCCAAAGGTGTTTTATTGGATTCAAGTCAGGCACCAAACTTGGTGACAGTTTTTATTCTTTAGAAACTCTTCTGTGATTTAGAGCTTTGGATGGTTCTCCTGCTGGAATATTCCTCTTCTTCCAGCTTCTGCAGACTGGGAGTCATCTTGGTTTATCCTCAGACATTCATCTATAAATGTCATCAACACCTTCTGCCCTCATGCAGCCCCATATCATGATACTGCCACCTCCGTGCTTCACTGTCAGGACGATGCATCCACTGTGGTGGTCCTGGTCAGGTTCACACCAAACATCTGGACTCCATCTGAGCCCAACACATTGATCTTCATCTGACCAGAGAATGTTCTCCAAAGTTTAATAGGGCTTCTTTTAAAGCTCTCTATCAAAGTCGAATCTTGTGCCAAAGGGCGAGCAAGGGTGTTCTTCTTGGATGTCGTCCACGGAGGCTAACATTGTCCATCGACCTTCGCGCTGTCTGGGCTGTCACAGAATTTTAATTTCCATTGATGACCCCTGTGCCAAGTTTAAAGCAGCTGCTGTCTGTTTTTCACAGCTACATAGTGAAAGTAGTTCACGAGGACGACCACTGCAGCCCTGATCGGTGCTACTGTGGCTCCTTCTAGACCTCCTGATCACTGCTCACACTGTGTTTCCACTGATTCCTAGTTGTTCACTGATCTTCCTGTATCCTTAATCATCTCTCAGTCAGACTTTTCAGTTCCTCTTGCAGTTGTTTTCATGTGGAGCTTTGATGCAGACATGCAGATGGACTCATCCCAAACATGTTCATGCAGTGAGGCTGATTCACTTTTGTTGCATTGGGTTTCTACTGCAGGGCTTGTATTTTGAACAAAGTCCTTCTTAAGTATTCGTTTTCGATTGTTTCATAGGAGGAAACACTCGACTGCTGAACCAAGAAACAATGCGGCCGCTGAGAGCTGATGCAGTTTTGAATCTCTTAACATTTAAGTGGTTTACTCACGTCTGTTGTTCACCATAAAGAAGTCAATATAAGTAATGATTTGTATTCTGTGCCGTGAAAAGACGAAAAAGAAAAGACCGGCATCGTTAAAACATGCTATCGAACGAAGCTGAGGCAGAGAGAAGACAGATCTGAGTTTTATAAATAAATAAAATCAAGGACTGTTTCTGCAGAAATTACATTAAATTACAAAACTGTTTTCCCCAATTACGCTGTGGGAATGTGTACCATATCGCAACACGGCGCTGTTACTAAGCAACGCAGTCTGTCATCCAGGGTTCTGACAGCCAATCGTACCCAGCAGGTCCCACTCTCCGTTGGGCATGTACCCCGACACGTCTGCCTCCTTCATCTGGATGTCCAGCAGCCAGCCGTCAAACGTCCACGAGCCGAACTTCAGCTCGCAGCGCTGAATGTCAAACGGAAACCACCGCACGTCCACGCTGCAAGTGCTGACAAATATCCCTGGAAACGCACGAAACAACAAGGAGAGTAGTTTACAGTGAAAGGGAAAGCAAATTATCCCGAGATGTGACGAGGGAGGGGGGAGCTGATTAAAAGCTGCTGCTCGGTGCATCCGTCTGGAGGCAGGGGAGAATGAAATTATGTGATCGCAATGAACATTTTGGAGAATTGATTTGCTGCTTTCGTGTGCGGTTCTGAGGCCCGGTGGAACGTACCTGGAGGCAGATACTCACAGAAGCCGCTGGAGTTGACCAGGACGTTGGTCTTGAAGGTGGCGTCGAACTTATCGTGAGCGCTAAACGACACAAACACAAACAGGACGGTTTAGAGGCGAGCGTGGCTGCCGGTTGCGTACCTGTGTGTTTGTACGTCACACACCTGTTGTAAAGCAATATGTCAGGAGTCCAGACCTGGTCGGGAGTGAAACGCAGGTTCTTGACTCCGGGATACTCGGACTGGTTCCACTGGAGGTAGTGGTCGTACCACTGCTGGGAGACACAAGAGACGCTCGGGTTTTACATGTGAACACGTACAGACGCACACTTGGTACAAAAAAATGTAACATTACAGCAACTGGAGTGCCAGAAATACTGTAAAATAACAAAAAATAACAGTCAAAAGTAGTAATTTTTTAAAGAGTAGTACATTTTCAAGCCTGTAGATAGATAGATAGATAGATAGATAGATAGATAGATAGATAGATAGATAGATAGATTACAGCAGCTGGAGCCCCAGAAATACTGTAACATAACATAAAATAACTGTCTCAAACAACAAATAATTTCTACATTTTCAAGCCAGTACCAACAATTAAATTACAAATAATAATCGTAAAATCCCGAATATAAAAATGAAATATAGATTAGTAGATGGATAATGTCTGGGCTACTCTACACAGAAAAGAAAAAAAAATAAAAATGTAATATTCAAGCTGCTGGAGCCCCAGAAATACTGTAAAATAACAAAAATAACAGTCAAAAAATTGTAATTTTCTACATTTTCAAGCCTGTACCAACAATTAAATTACCTATAATATAAAAAAAGTAACAATATACATGTAAAATCACAAATATAAATAAATTATATAGCTTAATAAATAGATAATACCTGGGCTACTCTACATGGTATAAAAAAAGTTTTTTTTTTTTTTTTAAAAGTAGTATTTCAGCAGCTGGAGTGCCAGAAATACTGTAAAATAACAAAAAATAACAGTCAAAAATAGCAATTTTCTACATTTTCAAGCCTGTACCAACAATGAAATTACCTATAATGTAAAAAAAATATATATATAATAATAATAATATATATGTAAAATCACAAATATAAAATTATGTAGATTCATAGATAGATGATGCCTGGGATACTCTACACTGTAAAAAATGTTTTAGAAAACTGTAATATTTCAACAGCTAAGTACCAAACACTACCATAAAATAATAAAAAACAATAAGTTTTCCATTATTAAAACATATCGTCTTACCTTAATTTTGAATAATGTCTATTTTTAATGTGATGAAGGATATTTGCACGTATAAAACGATGAAATTAAACATAAATGCAACTGAATGGTATCATGTAATGCAAGAAAATATAAAATATTCTGTTGCAAAAACTACTTTCAATTTGCAATAATTCAATTTTCTTAAAAAAAAAAAGATTATTCAAGCTATTTTTCATCAGACGTGTAAATTCACAGCCTGTTTCTGTAATTGTATTAATTTTATTTTGTGTATTTCAAAACTATGGGGGAAAATATGTAAAATAAAAAGGAAACAAACTATTTTCCTCTTCTAATTTGACTGTATTTTCATTTCTCCTGTACACACATCTTCTGTCACATGTTGATTCCAGCTAAACATATTTCTTTGGTCGTTATCTTAAGTCCTTTCAGGCCTAATTGTTATTGGTGATTCGTGGCTGTAAAGTAAACCTGAGTGGACGTGGGACTAATAGCTTTGGCCTGGATTCATACAGTCCTAATGAAAGTCACCAGAGGGTCAAGTTCGGGGCAGCAGGAAGAAGCCGTCACTGGGCTGAGCTGCACATCAGCATGAAAGCGTCTCTGCAGCGGCGCTCTGCATAATCCTGCGGCGGTCGGGTTCCCAGGGCCAGGATCGATAGCACAATATGAATGTTATCTGTTCCACTCACCATCTGCAGCCAGGCGTTGGTGGTCAGGATCTGGTTCTTCTCATCCTGGCGCGACACAAAACAAATGAGCAAATAAATGTTGTAACTTCATATTTTACTGTCTTGAAGCAAAACACTGGGACTGCGTTTGAACACCAGGAGGGAGGAACAGATTAGACGGGGAGCTGGGAGTCCTCCCCCAGGAAACGCTCAACATAAAACACCTTCATTCCCTTAATTCTGGTGAATTTTAATGCACCTTTGTTTGGTTGAATCAGGCTGTAAGAGCTGATAAGGTTTGGTTTCTCCTCCCGCTTCTGGTGCAAAAGCAAATATTTAATTTTTGCTTCATTTTCTTGCATAAAAGTGTTAAAAAAAATGTTTTTTAACCAACAAAAATGAGGACAGCAATCATCAAACATAATAAAACAGATAAAAGACAGAAGGAATGAACAGATGACGCCTACTTTAAAATATATGACTCATAAAATTCAGTGTAGATTTCATTTCAACGTTTTGGTGAAACACTGATCAGGAGTCCTGATCTCACTTAATCTCTCATAATTCTGGTGATTTTTTTATGCACATCTGTTTCTCCAAAGCTGCTCAGGTTTAATTATTCCTGCTTGTGGTTCAGTGTCAGC